GAAATAGCTGAGAGACGTGCGAAACAAAGGACCCGCATGGTGTGGTGGTGAACGCGTTACTCCCCGGAAAGGATAATAGCGCGTTCGTTCCCCACCATAGACACCTGCGGTCCAGAGTTTTGCAAATATCTCAGCAACATTGTGGTTGTATTTCGCTTAGTAACCTGCCATGAAAATTATAGAAGGCAGAAAACAAAACGTTAAAACATTGTGATTTCAACTACAGCCATAGCTTAACTGGGTTCTATGCCGATTTGCGCTCCCCAGATCAACCCCGCTGACGGGTGATTGCTGTGGCAAAAAGATCGATAGAAATAGCTGAGAGACGTGCGAAACAAAGGACCCGCATGGTGTGGTGGTGAACGCGTTACTCCCCGGAAAGGATAATAGCGCGTTCGTTCCCCACCATAGACACCTGCGGTCCAGAGTTTTGCAAATATCTCAGCAACATTGTGGTTGTATTTCGCTTAGTAACCTGCCATGAAAATTATAGAAGGCAGAAAACAAAACGTTAAAACATTGTGATTTCAACTACAGCCATAGCTTAACTGGGTTCTATGCCGATTTGCGCTCCCCAGATCAACCCCGCTGACGGGTGATTGCTGTGGCAAAAAGANGAAATAGCTGAGAGACGTGCGAAACAAAGGACCCGCATGGTGTGGTGGTGAACGCGTTACTCCCCGGAAAGGATAATAGCGCGTTCGTTCCCCACCATAGACACCTGCGGTCCAGAGTTTTGCAAATATCTCAGCAACATTGTGGTTGTATTTCGCTTAGTAACCTGCCATGAAAATTATAGAAGGCAGAAAACAAAACGTTAAAACATTGTGATTTCAACTACAGCCATAGCTTAACTGGGTTCTATGCCGATTTGCGCTCCCCAGATCAACCCCGCTGACGGGTGATTGCTGTGGCAAAAAGATCGATAGAAATAGCTGAGAGACGTGCGAAACAAAGGACCCGCATGGTGTGGTGGTGAACGCGTTACTCCCCGGAAAGGATAATAGCGCGTTCGTTCCCCACCATAGACACCTGCGGTCCAGAGTTTTGCAAATATCTCAGCAACATTGTGGTTGTATTTCGCTTAGTAACCTGCCATGAAAATTATAGAAGGCAGAAAACAAAACGTTAAAACATTGTAAAAGAATCCCATTCGTTGAAAACTAAAGAAATGACCTCAAGGGAAAACAACAATTGTTAGTTTCAGGGGAAAGCAATACACTGTACTAATCTAATGAATCAGTGAGTAACGAGTTGAAACCAGTCCAAATCCCTTCGTTCGTATCGCCCACCAAGCCTGCACATTAAGTTACGTTCTTTCAAATGACATCAAGAACACTATCTCATTTATGATATTGGCCGGGTTTAGCAGTGGAGTTGGTTTAGTTGTTGACTTGCTATCCCGAAGCAGATGTAGAGTTTGTTTGTAGACGACGACCAATATTACTTCTTGTTCATTTCCCTAGCATTTTACTGCAAGTCTTTATCCGAATTAACCCAAGAGAAAAAAAACACACATACACATACACATACATACACACACACACACTAAGTGAATCTACGAATAATAAGATTATGCGCATATGAAACCTGTAAGCTAATATGGAACATCAGAGACAAGAACGCACTTCCCAAATTGAGCTGCCGTTCATGCCTGGTATACGATGGCCTTTGATTTCCACATTTTATCGTCCATTCACCACCTGGACATGTCATGTAGCGTTTCGATCAACTAACCAATGAGCCTTCCAGAGAAGGAAATCTGGGTTCAACAGAATCGAATGGATCCCACCTTAATAGGCAGACCTCGGACTAGGGATTATGCCTTCCATAATTACTTCGTTGGCTACGAAACATTAAAAACATTGCGACAACGAAGACCCTCCCCCGAGGACGAAGGACTGTGAACAAACCGTTCGAATGAATCCGGCTCTGCAGAAAACAAAGACATCAAAACCTTAGCTGAATGGAACCTCTTACCAACCTCGTGTTAGCTTAAGAATACGTAAAAATTTCGTTAAGGGAAAGTTAAGTTTAGTTGGATTTTAAAAATTAAAAACTTCGAACTTCGTCAGCAGGAATAAGAAAACGTAAAGTGGACATATAAGAAAAAAGAAATCAACAAGCAAACCTGCAAACCACAACATCCCACAGCATTCAGGATTGAGGCATTGTGTATAACTTTAACCTGAACGGTGTGCTAAAGGAGAGTATTTAAGGATAGCGAATGTCGATATTCCTGACTAACAGGTATTGCTTTTTGTTTTGCACGTAAGACAAGGTCTGTATGTGTTGTTGCGCCAAAAGGATCTCCCACGACGAGAACAGCAACGTCGTCGACATCGGCACCAGCCAATATTTCATCTTAATGACATTAAAATTACAACTCCTAACCACTTCTAAAAAAAACGCTAATAGCTCCAGGTATACGAAGTTTGTTAGCTGTTCATTCCCAGGACAGATGGTTTGATGCTTCGAAACAAAATTATTCATTCTGTAGAAATATGAATACTCATATTATGAAGTGGATTTGTCCCCGAGGACCGCATGGTGTGGTGCTGAAAGCGTCAGCCCGTGAGAGCGAAGAAGATCAAATTAAGAACTAGCTAAATTGACAACATTTGTTTTACTCCTATTTGATTTTATACCACTCGAAACCATATGCTGTTCAGATTCCAGCACTTTTGCATTTCATTCGTTTCTTCTGATCGATCTTCCACGAAGATCTTATCTACGTATGGGTTCGGTTGGTGCTTGAGAATTCTTCGTCCTCTTAACGAAGGACGTTGAAGATTGGTCCAGTCACCTTTCCGTGGAATGTTGGGATAGCCGTGCTAGGACGTTCCCACATCTTCACCAAAGACGGTCTTCATCTTTCGTGAATTATGCGGAACAAGCTGTTCCTGAACAGACCCAGTACCAATTTCTCATCCTCAGAGCAATGGAAGTGGTCCGTGATCAAAAAAAAAAAAGAAAACTAACCTGAATTCTGTTCAATGACTATCCGATCAGCTTCTATCAGCTCACGACCATAGTATTCTTCGAGCCTTGATTTATCCAAACCATAACACAAAATACTAGTGTAAGCTTCAAGGTAGACCCGCTTACACCTTCTAAAGAGTCGAATTAGAATCATCAAATGATGTACGGGTATCATCGGGTATTTAGACAGATACCTTACAACATTTAGTCCTTTCACAGTAATATCTTCAACGTCACCCAGTCCTAGACCTATCAAGTAGAATACCATCCAAGGTCCTGAAGGAATATATAGGCAAGAACTTCTTCACATCAAAGGTAAGTCAATCACTATGTAATAAGCGGTTCCTACGATATATGACGATTGGGATTATTTTCCACGATATAAGAGGTCACAAAGAAAAACTACCAGCAAACAATATTTATTAGAGAACACAGAAAGAACAAAAATTAGCATCCAACAACTGGAATGGTGCGAAGTGTCGCTCACCTAGGTGCAAATTTCCGAGCTATTTCTTTACCAGAAATGGTAGAATGAGTTCATTTCTTCTACTTCATATTACCTACAACAACACGGTAACAATTGATAAGCAACAAACTACTTTGGTGAGATTAAAATGAAATCTTATGAGATGAAAGGAATGGTTTTAAAAAGACTAACAATGGGTTTTTGTCAGAAAAGCTCACCATATCTGTAAAGGTAACATCAAGTAGTAGTACAAGTGATTGTTTTTGTATGTTCGTCCAATATGAGCAAACCTAATTAACAGTTGGAGTCCGACATAAGTGGATTTGCACTAACATATTAGAAGGTGACAATCGCGCCTGCATGAGCTGTTCTTTCCTCTTCGTGGTCGCTTATTTCACTTTTGTATTCAATCGATAGCTGATTCAATGCAAATCACTGTCTCCTTGTTGAACAAGAATCAGGAATAAATATGCATGGCTTGTCTATTCAGCAGTTTATGGCTATCTTTTTAGATGGTCCGAGAATTATTACGTGCAAATTAGAGGGCTGGCAATTAGAGAGCGGCTGGCACCAACTCTCGCCATTGCGCCCATGTCTAAAATAGAAGCCCCGTTATCGACCTCCGGCAGCTGCTCTACTGCAGATACATAGATTACTGTTTCGTCATTTTCTCTACTCAAGAGGAGACGGACAAATGCTTTCGGTTATTGAACGAGCAGTCTGAGTACATTAAATTCACCCGGGAAAAACCGAATAAAAATTGGCTTCCATTCCCAACGTTCAACTCAACTCATCAGACATCTGCTACAAACAAAGTGGTACCGAAAATCAAGTAATAAGAAGAACCTTACACTTTTCCTCTTCTACCACCTTTCGCGCACAAAGCCACCGATTGTGAGAAACATGTTTCGAACAGCGACCTCTGTGTGCACGAAGACCGAACTAAAGGGGGATCCGTGCGACTTGGCTCGGCAAATAGCTATCTCAAATGGCTACGAAATAGAAACCTCACGAGATAACTTAAGATTTTACTTGCGGAGACGATTTTGATGTGAAAGTCACCATCGCATTGGATGCCAAAACTCTAGCGAGCATTTGAGGCTTTTTGGATAAATGCGAAGACTCTACGAATGGAATAGCAGGGAGGAATGCTTAGAGGTCACACGAGGCTTGGCCCCGTATCTTCGCATTGATTTTTGATGTGGAGTGGTGTACTCATCAACCATATTCGGCTCTGATCAATAGTTCCTCCTCAGTGGAAAGCATGTAAAAAACGGTGGGCTTTTTCGAGAGCTATTGATCACGTGGTTTCCACTATTTTCGTCTCTCTGTTTGTGTTGTTGAAGCAATTGGCATTACATACCCTTCCAGGCTCTGAAGAAGGCGATACTTTCGAGTCGTCAGCTTTAACGGAATAAAGAATAGAGTAACACTTCGTGTCTGCTCAACAAGAATATAGCGCAGACCACTGTGTTGAGAATCGGACTAAACCCTCGAAGGAAAAGTAAAGCAAACGTCATAGGTTATTTGTAAGAAAAGCGATTAGATCAGCTTGAGTAGACATCAGTCATAGCGCATGTCGTGAAAAAGTAAGCATTAAAAAGATGGGTCGAGCAGATAGGTTTAATAGCAAGCATTTAAATTCGGACTCTAAATGTTAACTTAAAAAGCACCTGCATCATATCAAGTGACATACATACCACAGCTCTCACTCTGTTTTTACTTTCAATGAACTGGAAGGAGGTGAATATGTACATATCAACCTAGTCATAATATGAGTATTTACAAGAAGGAACACCAACGATGCGGCCCACATGCACTCGAAAGTGTGCCATCCTTGGAATTCAAACAAATACGCAAATAGCAACCACAGTCCTTGACTGGCAAACCATACTGTGATCAGTAACACCAACTCTTTCAAAGAAATCTAGAAATCATTTCATCAAGATTGCTAAAATAGCAGGCTTCATTTATATACATAATTTTCGAAAAAATCTGACGTTAGATATGTTGCTTACAAACACTTTTCAATAATTGTCAGTTTCTAGTTATAACAACCTCATTCGTCCTAACGGTTTAGCGCCTCATCGTAGCGGGAAGGTGTTCCCGGGTGTCGAGTTGCGATGTACAGCGGGGAGATTCATCTTCCCAACAGTCTCACAAAATGAGAAGGGGTCCGGCGTCTCCATCAGGAAGCCCAGGTAAGAGTAAACCAATACCAGGATCGATCACCATCCTAGTAACAAACTAGTCACATGGTGGCAAATCTCCCTCTGATCCACAAGGGTGACTGCCTGTGGTGGTGACGACCTCTTGGGCAGGCCTTGGCCAGGCGGACTTCAGTACTCCAGAGACCCACAAAAGTTAGACCGGCAAAACTCCGAAAAAATGGAAATTATGCTGGAGCCCGCACAACCAGTGACGACGGGCCATCCAGGTATTCAAGTAAGTAATAACTTCAACACGTTTAATATCCAGAAAAGAAAGATAAGGACTATCATACCTTGACTCTGTCCACGAGTAAAGGAAGAAACACGATGTACCACACAAAGTACTGACTTGTGCATACTTTGTTATAAGTCACAAAAGCGAAGGTGGTCAAAAACCAACAGAACGGGAGATCATCATGATATCTAAAACGTAGACATAGAAAGGTACGCAACACTTCTGGTTTTAATAATGTTATACCTGAATGAAAAATATACGACGAGGAATAACTGCGGTAAAAAAGCCAGAAATCCAACGAGTTTTGAAATGCTTTCTTCTTCGTCGATTAGATAAAGCAGCTAGAAAGAATCAGGACTAGAAGCGAACAAAAACTCCATGGTAAATATAAGCTTCACCCACTCACATAAAAATACGCGGAGAAATTATGCCTAATGTCTCGTCGTTTTATATGATAGAGCAAGAACTCTTCCAGAAAAACCTCGCCGTAGATCCAGTAGAAAAATAGTACTACTGACGCAAAGCTCCCAACACTTATCTGAAAAGAATATATTTCATAAGCTTGATGTATCTGGGATACATTAGACTAATCATACACTCCTTCCAACGGTTTACCGCCTCATGGTGGCTAAGAGGTGCTCCTGGATGTCGGGTTACGATGTACAGAGGGAGATTTGTTCCCCCTGGCGGGGTCTCCCAAGTTGAAGAGGAGTCCGGCGTTTCTTTCAGGAAACCTAGCTAAGAGTAAACCAATACCAGGATCCACCACCGCCTTAGTACCAATCTAGTCGCATGGTGGCAAATTTCCCTCCAATTCGCAAGGATGGCGATTGCCTGTGGTGGTGGCGACATCGGGTAGACTTCAGGTAGGCTGACCTCGGGACTCCAGGGAACCACAATAGCTAAACTAGCAAAACTCCGAAACAATGGAAATTATGCTGCAATCAGCACAAGCAGTGAAGACGGGCTATCGAAGTATCCAAGTAAGCAATAATACACTAAATAAGAGCACAAATACATAGATCAACTCAAGAAATAACGCAAACCGCAACGAATGCAAATCCTTTCCAGTTTGAAAAAATTTGCTTGAAAAGATCAGATACGCCGAAACGGGCAGAAAGACGGCACAAATGCAGAAATATGGACGGCAGGTATATTATCGGATATATTTTAAGGTGGACCGCCAACATTCCATGAGCTATTGCCGCTAAGAGCCACTGAAAGAAATTTTTAATAGACTGGAATAAGACAAGAGAGAAGAGATAAAAAGTGAATAAAAGATAAAGCTCTCGGCATTGATCAATTCCTGAGGGAAACGCCGTGCATTAGATTTCACTAAGCATATCTGGAGGTGAATGAATGCATATCTGGCCTTTACAATGACTCGTGGTGGCCCACCGATGTACTGCTCCAGCACTGCTATCCTTTCAGGCAAATCTAGTAGCAAATTGCCGACCTCGGAGAGATGGGAGGCTCGATGAGCCTTTGGTGCGGGGATTGATCCCAGGTGTATTGAAGTGCTCCTCCGATCACTGCGCTACATGCACCCACTAGAGAGACGTGATACTATTAAGAATTCTAGAAGTAAGGAACCAGATAAAACATGATAATATTGCAGTAGCTTATTCTGTCTTCTAATAGTTTCCTTAAATGAACACTTCCTTTTGCTTCATCGACATACATTGATAGCACTTTTTAGGATATTTTGTTCACAACAGCAAACACGAATCCATAAGAATTTTCGGATGTAAAAGAACTCAAAGGTAAAATTTTGAACTAACATGTTCTTTTTTCAGCAGATAAAGTGTGAAAAGCACTGCCGCACAGACCAGTACGTCTGCATTACCTCTAAATAAGAATACAAGATCAAGAAAACAAAACACCGACCAAACTAGGCTTAGCGCTATGCCGTAAATACTTATAGCTCAAATCACATGTCTTACTCTACATATGCCATAGAAAAAGTGGGAAAAAAGAAGAAAATGAATTTTTAACAACCTAGCTGATATAACTGCAATTAAAGGATTCGCTAGCCAGAAAACAACAACGGCCAGTGTGAGATCATCATCGGGTTGGCCCTCCTTGTGCCCTCGACTTCGCAGACTACTAGGCCTAGCATAAGTGCTTAAATCGTAACTCAGTCTAAGAAATTTGGAAAAGAATTGAACAGCTTTCTTCTTGGTCACAAAGTGTAGGATGATAGGTTGAGAGAAGTAACGTGTCGGGAAGAGAAGAAAAATCATCACCTGTTCGTCACTTTAGCTTGCTTCCTAGGCGTAGCACCCATAATTTCAAAATACATCCAAGCAACAATCATGTCAAATACACAGAACAGATATTTTCCTGGAAAAAAGAATTTTTAGTAAGTTAAGGAACGCCTTGAAAATCCAAGTGGTTTTCAGAAAATGAGTAAAAATGACTAGTATACAAAACCATGTACCAAAGTCTTTGTATCTGTTGTTTGGTAGAAGAATCCATGCTAACGCTGGTGTATACCTAAAGGTGTATGGGATAAAGCATTCAGAGCATAGAAAACAGGTATCACAATAGATGGAACCACAATGAATTTAAAATATTCGTAAAACTTGGACCCCGGGCCATATCGAACCACCATTACACTTTCCAGGGCTCGTGTATTATACACTGCACCACTGTTGCTTTGCGTTTCTCTTAGCTGACGGGTGATTGCTCATAGCACTGTTGGATAAGAAAACTACCTCAGAGAAGGACAAAGCAAGGGCCTCAGTGGTGCAGTGGGTAACACGAGAGTTTCCTAAAAGGGTAATCATGGTTCGATCCGACCAGGGATCCAAGTTTTGTGAATATCTCGTGGTTGCATTTCACCTAATAGTCTCCCGCCGTTAAAAATTACAGCAGTCAGTAAATAAAAGGTTAACGTTATCACAAAGATCATTACGGGATTTTACAATATGGCCCACACAAATGTTGTACTTTGCACAGCTGGATCAAATACATGAAGGGTACTGAAAGGTACCACCTGTATGTTACTCTGTTGAATGGACTTTCTCCAGCAGCCACATAACGAGCAGCGTCGCTGTAAACGCTGTAGTCGATGTCAGTGAAATTCACCTAAATCGGAAAGAATTCCTAAATAAATAGGAGACTGTACAGCAACCCACATGAAACATATAGTCGTGGATGTTCGAGTAGAGGATCAAGGTGAAACGAACTGCCAATGAGACGAACAACAGCTGGTAATGAAGTAGATTTAGCGGAGAAAGTTACCTGTATGATTATGGATTTATACCTTTCCACGTGTCCAACGCTGTGGAGTGTTTCCTTCCACAAGAACCATCACTTAGAAGAGAAATTCTTTAGAAACACTACCCATATCAGTTCCTGCTAACATCGCCTCCAACACAAAATGACTGCCTTCTGTTTCAGTACCGAATTTCTCCGTTGAAGTATAAGTTCGACTCTTACAACTGAAAATAAATACAAATCGTTTCGAGTACCTAGAAACGATGATTATTTGCCATACATGCCATTTTGGAATGTCTGAAGACAATAAAAAAGATAAACATCAGAATCTTGCAAGAACCACCCCGAGTCCATGCTAGCCTGAGCAGGACTCTGAAACCATGAATCCAATAGTCGGTTTTCAACCGCCCTCAAGGCTGAGCGATAGGTTATTATGTTTAGAATGGGAACAAAGAGAGATGAGAAGATGAAATTGGCCGATGAGAGAAGTTACCAAGAGCTCAACGAAGCGGCATTAACATACTCATGAATTATTTATGACTGATACGAAATACTTTCTAGTGAACTCTTGTTAGCTCACATATTTTTCTACCACAGTTCATACACAACAATTCGACATCTTTCCAAAATCATTTGTTTTTATAGTTCGCAATATTTACTCAAATAATACGAAGTTCTTAACCTAAATACCTAAATTCTGTAAGCATTCTGGTACCAGACTTGTCTGGGGAAAGTTCGCCCTCTGTAATTCAAGTGGGGACGCTCTAGCCCGGCTCTCTAAGGACTCCAGGTAGAATCGAATCGACCAGCACTCAAGAACACTTAAGATGAAACGAAAGTCTTCAAGTAGCAGCCGAACTCAAACGTAAAGAGTTAAAAAATCCTTGTGGATGATGGATGAGAGGAAACTGAATCGAACCCGAAAAGTGCTAGGATCCACACAGTAGATGCGAAAGACGGGCCGTGGAAAAAAACCTTTTCATGAAAATTGTGGCGCGTGTGGCGCAGTGGTTGGAGGCGCCTTGCAACACACACGTGGAATCGACCCCCGCGCTCCAGGTCCACCAAACCTTCCATCCCTCTGGGGTCGGTAAATTGGTACCAGACTTGTCTGGGAGGGTAGTAGCACTCACTCGATACAACGGTAGTCAACTTCTATCATTCATAACAGTCATTGTACAGGCCAGATATGCTTTCAGTCACGTCCAAACGATGCTTAATGAAGTCGAATGCATGGTGCATTCCTCAGGGATTGATCAACACCGAGAGCTTTACCATTTGTCCTTTTGAATGAAAATAAACGGAAGAAAGAAGTAAAAAGAACAAAAAAACTGCACTAAACAGAAAACTAAGCTGCATTTACGAGAATAGAGTTACTTTCAACAAGCGAAATATAACAGCTCTCCAAAATTTTCCTTGCCCAAGCGATTTTCTTCCGGAACAGGACCTTGTGTGGGAACGGTGTTGGCGCCGAACGAACCGACAAGTTGCCCGCGATCGATAGCCGACCCGACCACGTACACCGTCCGGAAGACAACAGATTCCCACAAGTCATCGTTCTTATGTTAAATCACTTCTGAATCTCTTTGTCAGTACTTGTTACAGAAGTCTTACAATATGCCCAGTACTGGTAACACGATAGTACTTTCCATTTTTTGATAAAACACGAACGAAATAGAACCTTGAAAGAGCTAACCCTAGTAGTGACCACTATAAAAAAGAAACATTCCGAAATTTACTATCTCACTCTAACTGTAAAAGAGTATCGATTGTTTTGTTGATTTATTATGACCCTCAACAGCCAAATGGCGATAAAAATTAACCACATGTAGTCTTAAGAAAACGTTTCATAAAGGATAAAAGGATAACGGACTAGGTGTTGATCAATTCATCACGGGTGCGTTATGCATTCGATTCCATTCGTAGCATCGCAGGGTTGGTTGAATACGTATTTGGCCTATACAGTGTCTTGCAGAATCTACCAATCTATCACATCAGTTGTACTTATAAAATATATGGAACTTCTCTTGAATTTTTTTTTGAAGTCCAATTCGTCCTAAGGTTGGGAAGCGTAGTGATCAGTTTCTCTGCCGAAGATATTAGTTTTAGTACTTTTCAACTAGAGGTCGATAACTCCTGGGATCTACCACTGGCAGTACTGCACGTACTGCCACCACCCTATCTAATTGTTATCGTTTTTGCTCTGCGAAGGGAAGAGAACTTATGGGTTGATAGTTACTGGTAATTGCGTCAATTACCTGCTATATCAGTGGTCTTGTAGTTTCGGAGTTCTTAAGTGCTGGTTCGTTACAGCATCGTGAGATTCTTTTGATGTGGTAGTATTCTGGTTCGTTTCTAGTTTGTCGTTTTGTTCTCATATGCAGATGCAATGGGCGCGTGTGGTCAGGGGCGCCCGGCAATCCACATGGGATCGATCCCGCGCCTATGGCTCACCAAGCCTTCCATCTTTCCGGGGTTGTGAAATTGGTACCAGAGTTGTCTGGGAGGATAGCAACACTGGCTCGATACATTGGTTGGCCACCGCGAGTTACTGTAAAGGCCAGATGTCCATTCAGTCTCCTCCAATGAAGCTTGATGAAGTCGAATACAAGACGCGTCGCTCAGGAACTGATCAATACCAACAGCTTTATCCTTTATCCTTTATGCAGGTGTAATCCCGTGGATCTCATCTATGGAAACATTTAGTAGTTCAGCTAGTTATGAAATTGTAAGTAAAGCTCCAATCCAGTGTGTTGCCTGATGTGTCTTCGTAATGTCCCGTTAACCAAACGTGTCGAATTTCTTGAATGACATTCCCCTTATCTGGAATGTTGGAGCACTTTTGCTTTGATGTAGCACTGATATTAGTTGAGTCTTTGACTGTTATCACGCTTAACACTTCAATTCCCACGTGAGAGAATTTTCATCTATATGTGACCATCAAATGGTCCGGCATGAGTCGATATCAAGTCACAGAGGACGGGATGAAAAATTAGGCGTGAAATAGATGCGGCAACGACACGGATTTAGGCATCAGATTCTAAGCATTAAACCCAGATGGGCTTAAATGTCTGGAACTAGTGGGTTACGCTGCGAAATGGAGTTCCTAGCAATCCATCGTGGTCATTTCCTGTAGTGTTCGTCTCTACTGATCTTGTGTTTCTTCGTGATTTCTCTTTCGAGCTTTCAGGATGTCGACGAATCCATTCTGGAGTTGTATTCCTTATCTGGGCAGTTGCTTGGAATGCATGCAAGGACCGTCATTCTCGGCAACAGCGTCGTACTCTCAGATGACAAATCTCATTCCTCAACCAATCCGTCTCGATACCTCCAGATGTGGTATGGTATTTCCTTAACACGAGGCTACCTTGTAGGTGGAAACTTTTCCTTTGTGTGGAAGCGCTTTTGTTTTTAAGTGAGCAAAAGCTTGTCATGACTTTTAGTCAGCTCACCGGTTGTTTTTCTCGTACAATAAGTTTTGTTTAGGTAAGGACGTCGTAATTTTGAAGGAAGGCGAACGAATTTGTGGTACCGGTGCTGCTCTTGGCACATTACCTATTGTACAGAATAAAGCTTATTTCCAAGTAAATGTTCAGCAAAGTGGTAAGTTCACATTATGATATTTATTTAGTCTTTACAATAATAGGCTTGGCCTTAACTCGAGCCAATCCTTTAACTTCGTCAAAGTTTACCTATCGAGCTTTAAATTCTTTATGTGTTCATATAAAAATTCAGGATGAGTTTCGTCATGAATATTTATATTAAGGAGTCTGGGGAGTAGGATTGGGAAACTTGCATTCGATCCTGGACGAGATTCCAATCAGCACCGATTTCTGGGGTGTTCGTGAGAATGGAGATGTTGTCGCGAACGGAGTTCTCATTGGAAAACTCAGTAAAGTTATTTCGGATGGGGACTCCATTGTAAGCTGTTCGTTCTGGTCTTTTTCATTTAGCACTCTTTTCGAGTTGTGCTTCCTTTCCTTTATTTCTGTCATACTCTCCCTACAATTGTTTTTAAAGTAGTACTTACTTTCTTGGATGCTTGGATGTCCCGTCATCACTGGTTGTGCGGGCTGCAGCATAATCTCCATTTTCTATTTTGGTTCCCTGCAGTTTTGAAGTCAACCTTGCTAAAAGTCTGACCCAGGTCGTCACCACCACAGGTAGATTCTTCCGTTGTGGATGAGAGGGAGATTTACCAGTATGCGACTCAGTTTAATACCAGGACGGTGGTGGATCCTGGTATTGGTTTACGCCTAGCTGGGCTTCCTGATGGAAGCGCCGGACTATTTCTCAGCCTGGAAGACCCCGCTGGAGGGACGAATCACCTGCTCTACATTGCAGCCCGACACATATGAGCACCTCCCAGCCACGATGAGGCAGTAAACCGTTGCGAGGTTTTAACATATTAACGTCTATCATATGCAAACGAAACTCTTTGTTTCCTTACTATTTCTGTCCGATTTCCGGACATCATTATGCATCTATTTTCAGGGTGTATGTTATGATCATGTTGAATTGAATTTTCTTGTCAATGGTGAACGGACGGTGCCTACCATTACAGGTGTCAAAGGACCTGTGAGTATTCAGCATCTCTACGTTCTTTGCATCTTTTTATTCTTTTTTTTTTACACATTTGGGAGTCTGCGGTTGGTTGGTTGCTGATGGCGCTGGTGAATAGAAAACTATCTGAGAGAAAGGCGAAACGAGGTAAACACGTGGTGTGATGGTGAACGCTTTAGTCTCCGGAAAGGGCAGTAGCGCGTTCGACCTCCACCGTAGACACCTGCGGTCCTGAGTTTTGCAGATATCTCAGCACCACTGTGATTGTATCACACATAATACCTTGCTGTGTAAAATTCTAGTAGGCAGCAAATAAGTTAACCTTTGGGAGTATTTCTCACTAACTTACTTCAGTAACCAGTTAAGCTGCCGAAGATTTTTTCCTTGTTTGAGACTTAAACACGTTTTGTGTTTAAGTGTTTCCTTTTTTAGTTTTCTTCACTATTTTCCATCGAAGTAATGGAATTGATCTGAGTAACCCAACTTACTTTTTCGTACCGACCTTCTCGCGACAAATTTCACTTTTTGGAAGATATTAAGGGCCAAAATAAGGTTAAAAACTATCACAAAAGCACAGCTTCAGCAAAATATAGAACAACTTTAACTGATTATTTACTGCTTACTCTTATTAATGGCAGGGTACATTGCGAAATATAACATCAATGATGTTTAGATATTTGCAAAAGCTCCGGACCTCAGGTGTCTGCGGTGGGGAACGAACGCGCTATTCACCCTTTCTGGGGCTAACGCGTTCATCACCACACCATGTGGGTCCTTCGTTTCGCCTATCTCTCAGCTAGCCCTGTTGATCGGTGCCATCAGTAATCACCCGACAGGGGAATTGATCTTGGATAAAATGTTAAACGTGCAATACTTAGGAGGCATGTAGCGCAGGTCTTTCCTTATGGAAGTTACTATCTTTGAGTGTCCTAGATAGATGTTTCAGGCATATCCTATTGTCTTCGTAGATGATTCTGCAATTTTGGACGTTAAATTCCGAAGATTCACCGAAGATCCTCCATGTGGATATGGTGAAATATTGCCGGAACAAACGTTACTGTAATTACCAATTGAAGTAGTGTTTTTATTGCATTGACGGATGTGCTTGTAATAACAAAATCAATCGAAATATGGATTCATGGTTTTTCTTAAGCCAATCCTACTTTTAGCTTTTTCCTAGTGATACGTAGGATTGTTCTATGTGGAATGTACCCTGCTGTGCCATGATTATTTCCCGTAGATGCGATTCAAGTCTCAATCTAAACTCCGATCTTGCGGGGTTCACAATGAGGACTACAGTTGGCGAGAATTAATATTATGAAATGGGCTATTTGGTTTCTTAACAATAGGAACAAGACATCTCCAAGTATTTATGTACTGACAACTCCACATATAACCCTTACTGATGGTGAGAAGTTGTGATATATAATATCATGGATGTGGAAAAGTTTGGAAGCTTTCCATTGCCGTAGGGTGGGATCTATAGTTTTAATCTAATCTAAAGTGCAATGCAAGTATTATTGTCTCATTTATGAGTTGAGCGGCCATAGTGATCACATAAAATTTCGACAAATGCTTCGCTTTTTTATGGTTAAATTATTATTCTTATCGGTGATTACAGACCATGGATTCTCCTCAAGGCTATTTATTTTGTTACACAAAGTTTCTTCTATACTTTGTATATCTAATCGATATCTTCGCAGTACGTATATTGTACTGGGCATGTTCTGAGAAAAGACATGGTACACGCTTTGTATTACACAACCTGTTTTCTGGACGAACTTGTTTGGTTCGCCTCAGAGACTGGTTTAAGTGTTGATGAGTATTGCCCTAAGACTTCTCCTTCGCTGAGAATACGGATGTATGAGTCCTGTGGCAATTCCTAGGTTTTTGTACTGAGTGGGTAACCCAGGTACTGCTGCTAATGAGGGTATTTAAGTGAGAGATTGAGTGGGAGGCGTGCACGGGGTTGTATGCGTTGCACTGAATAATGCCGCTTGCACTTTCCAGTGAATGTGTTGTTGTGAATGTGTTAAATTGTTATTCCAATCAAAGGGATTCCTAAACCAATGTTCTATTTTGCGCTGGTCCATGGCTCATTGGCTATAATGAAATCTCGAGATTGTAAATAATATAGGTGTGGTCCATCTTCTAATGGTTTACCCTCTCATCTTAACTGCAAGGTGTTCTAGGGTGCTGCTATGTATCCTTTTACCAACATAACCGCCCAGTCTAATGAATTCGACGTCACCTTCTGTAGGTTCACCTGACGGTAGACCTCTACATCACACCACGGCTCGGTGAATTAAAAAGCAAAAGAAATATGGAGACTTATGCAGACATCAATGCATTTCAAGTTTATTTATCGAGTAACAAATCACCTCTGATATGGCAAAGGAAAGACAGGAAATCTTACTGGTTGCCTGCTTGAGTTACTCTATGACTGTTGAGACCACCGGTGATAGATGTGCATTTAGTTATACAGATAAGGCCAAATGTAGCTTTAATTTGTGTTCTCCCACCCTTATCTTAGTCGCTAGCGTGAACGGATCATCATCCCTATGGTCGACGGTGGTGAGGAAACGCATCCAAAATGAATTATGGTGAGATCGGCGTTATTCCCCGGCGGACCATCCAAGTCTTCAAGTGTTTCATTATCCCAGGCTGAACAAGAATTTGTATGGAAACTACGTTACATTAAGAATTTGTACGTAAGTCTTCGTTTTGAAACTGTATAGAATATCAGTTCTTTCAACGGTTTACCACCTCATTGTGGCTGGAAGGTGTTCTTGGTTGTCGGGCTGCGATGTACAGCGGGGAGATTCATCCCCACGGCAGGGTTTAACAAGCTGGTGTGGAGTCCGGCGTTTCCATCAGGAAGTCCAGCTAAGAGTAAACGAATACCAGTATCCACCACCGTCCTGGTATCAAAATAGTCGCATGGTGGCAAATCTTTCTCTGATCCACAAGGGCGGCAACATCCTATGGTGGTGACCAGCAGACTGGCTAAGCTGACCTCAGGGCTCACTTGACATTTGACACTTCGATGGCCTGTCCTCACTGGTTGTGCGGGCCCCAGTATAATCTCCACTTTTCGGAGATTTGGTAGTTAAGCCATTATGGTTTCCTGGAGTCCCGAGGTCAGCCTCGCCAAAGTATGCCCCAGGTCTTCACCACCACAGGCAGTCGCAGCCTTTGTGGATCAGAAGTAGATTTACCACCATGCGACTTTGATATCAGGACGGTGGTGGATCCTTGAATTGGTTTACTCTTAGCTAGGGTTCCTGATGGAAACGCCGGACTCCTCAGTTTGTGAGACCCTACCAGGGGTTGAATCCCCTGCTGTACATCGCAGTCCGATACCCAGGAACACCTCCCAGCCATGATGAGGCGGTAAAACGTTGGGAGGACCTCAGAACTCAAGGGAACCACAATAAATGAACCAGTAGAACTCCAAGGAATAGAGAGCGTGCTGGGGCCCGCACAGCTGATGAAGACGGGCCGTCCAAGTGTCCAAGTAGGTATAGAATATGAGTAGGCATAGAACTTAGAAAATAAAGTTTGAAAGATTCAGGAGAAACAAAATATGCTTTCGTTTCGGATCGCCGTGTATGGAATGTTTTTCTGAACTGGATTTGGGTGCGATTGCTTCATAAATAAGGTAAAATCAAGACGATTAAAATATCGGACTGGAACGTTGATAGCCCTAATGCGTCTTCTTAGAGGTTCTTCATAGTCCTTAGAGGTATCACGTGATAGATGAGGTACGGTATTTCGGAGAACCTCCTCAGGTGTCCGCTACTTAAACTTCTGACGTGGATGCGGGCGTTTCCATGGAAGGGGTGACTTCAGAATAGTTCCCGTCTGTTCTACTTTACTTCTCGAGCAGTATCCTCGCCAGTCGTCGATCAGGTTATGGAAGATATTTGCAGTTCGTTTGGTTTTTGTCAAAGTGCTAATACCACAACCACCCAGTCTTCTTACCGGTAGTGCTTGGCCCGACTACTGCATTCGCTTTCTAGTCGGCGGCCATCGGCGTCGATGCTACCTTTCCGCTGCATTCGTGTTCATTTATACCTTTGCTATAGAATGTTCTAGAACAAATTATAACACAATACAAACCGCTTTTAATATGGAATAAAGAGATTTCGGACGAGAATTGGCAACGATTTGCCTTCTAGCCTAAGAGTTCCCAATTGAAGAAATAGGTATATGGTATGGTTAAGCACCGTCGAAGAAGAACATGGCACCTTCGAAATCACCGAGAGGTGATGGACTACCGAACACATTTTGTTTTAAGAGTAGAAATTTTTAATGAAACACAACTATTTATTCTTGTTTTTTTACAGGTGGTACCGTTAGGTAGAAAACTAGCTGAGGGAAAAGAAAGGAAGGACCTCAGTGATCTGAAGTGTAACACACGAGCCCTCGGAAAAGGGTAGATGTGATTCGGTCTGGCCTGTGGTCCAAATTTTGCAAATATCTCAGCATCATTGTGTTTGTATTTCACATCATATCTTGCTGTGAGAAACTGTAGTAGGCAGAGAGTAAAAGGTTACATTATCCAATCTTTAGTCAGACAGCCTAGAAACCTACAGATCGGGAAAGAATCGAACACGTTACGACTGATGTCATTATGTTATTTCTTTCCATCATTAGGCAGTAATCTGGTCAGTTTGTGGGGAGATCTTAAGGTTTTCTGAAACTGCTTCGTTTTCTCTGTGAAAGTTCGACGGTTTATTTTAAAAATGTTTCTGAAAATTCATAATTCATAACTGTAGCACGGATTGGACACAGCGAATGTATAGCCTAGACATAGCCTTGACCATGAATTGAAAGAAGATGAAGCAAGAAACAGCAAAAGTGAGACAGTGGGCGAATTCTACTTTGGAGCTTGGTTTTGGTATGATTCACTGACTCCATCGTGGCTGTGAAATAGATAAATTAGTATTTACAATGTTATGAGTCATCATTTAAAATTTAAGCAATGGATTGAGATCTTGAAGATTTAGAGCCATTTATGTCTGATGGATGGGCAAAGTGGTGTGGGAGATCTTTGTGGGATCCTGATCAGATTTTTCCTACGTATACTAAACGCATTGGTTTAGATCTCGTCGACGACGTCAATACTTCGTTCATAATTGCCTTCATTCAGAAAGTGCTTACTTACTGCCGGTAAAACCAACGATTTGCTACCTAAAAAATGTATAACTGAAACTAGAATGGTGTGCTAAATACACTAGTCAACCAGAGAAAGATCCAAATGAACATGACGTAATGAGGAGAAGGAAACTTACTGTCAAGCTTGTGGATTTGACGAAGATCGAGTGTCGAGTAGTCGTCTAAAACTATATAAATAGAAACGCTGCGTAGATAAAGAATGGTTTTCTGACATTATATAGATGTAACTAACAGAAAGGTACCGGTAGAGCAAACGAGGTCTGCACTGACTGTTACGACTATTTTGGGAGGTTTTAGCACAGCGCATAGGGGCCTCACGCACAATGCACAGTTATTATGGTTCGATCCCACGTCGGAGTAAACTAGTCTCTCAGTCACTCCGAGCTAGGTATAATGGCACCCGGTCTGTTTGAATGGATAAAATACTACATGGTAGATTGATTGGCCACGATAAGTCATCGCATGGGGTAAATATGTGTTCAGTTACCTCTACGATGATACAAGCCGCGTTAAATGCATTGCATAGCCGTAAAGTGTTCATTAGGGCGTTCTATGTTTATCAGCACAGGCACATTTTCTCATAAGATTTTTACATTTAGCTTTGTAGATACTAGTCATGGATTCTTAAATTTTTGCTCCAGTTCCAGAGAATTCGGATTCAAAATCCATGCAGTTTTGGAGTGTTTCACCCTTAATTTTACTCACCTTCATCGGAACTCCAACCGGTTACCATCTCATCTTTTCTCTCATGATCAATCGGATTGGAGTCAACAGCATGTGTTGCTTCACTGGAATCGAACGTTAATATCCGAAAAGTCAAGGAAAAGGGCTTTTCTTTCACTTCCACCGCTGCCAATTTTTGTCGAACCATTTACATTTTTTCCATAACTCCAACACTGGGGACGGCTTCTACTACTTCTTTGGAATACCTTGTTTTTCTTAAAACATTAATACACGACAAACAGCATGACACCTATCACCAATTTTTGTTTAACGTATAAGTGGCTGTATGCATTTATTTCAATGCGTACTCTTCCAGCTTCATTTGGTCTCGAGGAGCTTGTTTGCTACACTTTTTCAGTGTGGCCTATGTCTGATTTAATGCAGACATTTTGGTAGACGTGGATCGTTGTTATTTTCTCGGACGAACTTTTCAATAGATGCTGGGAAATTATCTATACTCCAAAGCGGCCGCCGCACAAAACTAGGGGTACTCGGATAAGTGCAAGTATTTGAGTCTAACATTAAAACTAGCTGAGAGATAGGCGAAACGAAGGACCCGCATTGTGCGGTGGTGAACGCGTTAGCCTCTGGAAAGGGTAATAGGGCGCTCGATTCCCATCGCAGACACCTGTGGTCCGGAGTTTTGCAGATATCTCAGCATCGTTATGGTTGTATTTCGCATAATACTCTGCAGTGAAAAATTGAAGTAGCCAGCAAATAAAAGTTAAACATCCTAACATCTAAATTTGTGTGGCTCCCGCATCCAGTTTCAGCTTTTCGCCACACTATGAGTTGGTGTCAACTCATGCAGGCCTACTTACCCGTTTCCCCGCTGTTGCACTTTTCGCTCTGTGGTTCCGCCTCTCCATATATTTTTCTTCCAAACTCTTTTTTGCATCCCATCCTTGGATTGAAATTAAATTTGAATACTACTTTAGACTCAAAATTCAATCGCACTGGAAATAGCTTCTTCAAACACTCACCGTTTTCTATGAGTCTTCCTCTTATTCTTATTATTGGTGGAGACTAACCGAGCAGAGCTTAACATGGGTGAGGATCACTCTGAGGTATAAGGTCGGATCACGTGTAATCCTAAGGCATTACATACTGCGGTTTTTCTTTAATGTGTGAAGAACACCTAGATGGTAAAGTTAGCATTTAAGAAAATACTTCAGTTGTCATGCATAGGACACAGAGACATAGCACAGAAGATTTTGAAGTAGAATTCACCATCCTCGCGCAGAAATCTAAAATTTCGGCGCGCAAAACTCTCGAAGCGTTCTGGATACATTCCAGGAATCTGGAAGTGGACCGTAGAGAAAGATGCGTCATTATCATGCGTGATCTCACACAATATCTCAGACTGATATTTTAACGTGAGAGTGGCTCATTGCCCATCCACATGAGCTTTTTGCAGTTGATTCCCACGTGGAATGCTCAGTGAAACACTCACAGAGGACAGTAAGTGTCTGGAGAAGCTGTTTCCAGTGTGATTGCAATTTAGGTTCGGAGTTTTCCTCTTGAAGAGTATCTGGCTAACTAAGTTGTCAATCTTTCCTTTGCTCACCAATAAAGCAGGTAGTAAACTATTTTTCTGAACAAATATTGGTTTTTCTAGAAACCAGTGCAAAAGCTGTTGCTTACTCTATAATTTCGTCCACTACAGTCGAATCCTCCTGCAGAGTTGGTGGACTGGCTGAAAATTATTGAACGCTGAAAATTTCTGTATAGTAATGAATCATGATATAAGGGAAAAAACTAGACAAGTGGCTACTCAGTGCCCTAAAAAACACGGACAAAGGATTGAGATGGCTTTCTAATTGTTACAGCTGAACATCCTATAGCGATGAATAAATGTACAAGTTTATCTACAGTTTACTGATTTCGAAAGGCTGAATGGATCGCAAGGTATACCATCTAGCGCGAATTCCTCCTCTGAATCTAACAATTCTGCTCGCAGTTCCGGATTATCCCATATCGGGTTATCGAAATGTATTGTTGTAGTGTCCACCGAAACTGATGGTACTATACGAGCTAAAAGAAAGCAACCCAGTTAGATTGGCACAAGTCTATTTTTGCGATGAGAAGCTTTTAAATAGCTCCTTATTTGATATTGTAAAAAATTTCCTGTGAAGAAGCAATCGGGAATCTCAGCGCAATTTTAAAAGAATATGATCTGATAAGAAAAACTGTCCATTAGTCTGGGGTGGATTCGCTGCTTATGGTTTCTGTCAAATAAATCTGTTAGTTAACACTAGTTCTACATCTGAACCATCTTTAAATTGGGTTTATTTACATTGAGCACCGTAAGTTCCAATGAACGAAAGGCTTTATTTTTATAACTGAACTAATTATTTAAATATACGACGGCAAAGAGGAATTTTACTTCTTCTTGAAGTTTATCAGATTTCTTACATGGTTTTTTTAAGAGCACGGGTAACCCAATGGTATTAATGCTACCCAGTAATAGGCGGAAGATCATGGTTCAACCCTGCCCCGAACCAACCAGGCCTCCCATATCTCTGGTATCAGCAAGTCCGCATCGGAATTGTCTGGACATTTCTCCCCGATGTATGAAGTCTGGAGACTATCTGTGATGACCAGCGAATGTCATAGATTCAGGACAGACTAAGCTTGAGCAGCATCTAACGACAAAACGATAAAGGAAACTAAAATTCTTAAGCAGCTGCCGAATAGGCGAAACAAATGACGGCCTTCGTGGATGGCGGAGATGTGGGAAACACTTGACACTTGAATGGCCCTCGCCCTACTGGTTGTGCGGACCCTAGCATAATCTCCATTCTTCCGAGATTTGCTGGTTGAGCCATTGTGGTTCTCTGGAATCCCGTGATCAGCCTGGCCGAAGTCTGCTCCAGGGCTTCACCACCACAGGCAGTGGCAGCTCTTATGGATCAGAGCGAGATTTGCCACTATGCGACTTTGATACTAGGACAGTGGTGGAACCTGGTATTGGTTTACTCTTAGCTAGACTTCCTGATGGTAACGCCGGACTTCTCAGTTGGGAGACCCTGCCAGGGGATGAATTCCCCGCTGTGCGCCACAGTCCGACACCCAGGAACACCTCCCAGCCACGATGAGGTGGTAGACCATCGGAGGGATGTAGGAAATAAAGGAAAGAAATGCTAGAATCTGTATGATGTCGGCTCATGAAAACAAGAAAAAAGAAACATATCGTCTGCTTGTCAACCTGATAATCGATAACCGATCAATTCTCTAAATCCAAATATTCAAAGATGACTAAGACGAACATCGCTTTTCGGCTAAGGCTTCTTCTTCTTTGGATAACATCGATGTGGACGGTTTGTTCTCAATTGTCACAGCAGATATCTGAAAAATTGTAGACCATATAGAAAATTATGCTCTTTGGAAAAATTCTACAGCATGGAAAGTTTCTGTTCATCTTAGTCACAGAACATTCAGCAAAATGTCTCATTAGATCTTCACTAGGACAAGGAAAGAAGAAAAAATCTACGCAGTTTTAATCGATCCAGAAAAATGATCTATAGAAGACCGGTACAAATCAATAATTAGTTATAAAACTACCGAGAGAGACATAATGAAGCGAAATTCCAATGAGTGATAATGGAATGTATTAACGGAAAAGGGTTAATAGAAAATGTCATAGGATATCCTGTACCTTTCTAGCAGCTCGATCCATAATCTCTTCAAATGTGGAGAACTGTTGCTTCGTCTCTAATTGTTTTGTATCCTTATTTTGTGACACTAAATGGAAATAACAGTAAAAATGAAGTCAGTACGACTTTGTTGTCGAAACAGCGGTCAAATGAAAGAACTTTGTGATTCCAAGAGTTCTAGTCCTGAGTTGGCGTTCGCTAACCTCGGTCAAATGTTCCATTGTTAGTTGAGGTGGATGTGTTAGTGTCGGTCAAAATCTTCCTGTCCTTTGTCGGCGCTGAAACTACTACGTTTTACTTCCAGAAATATCAATTTTCACATAGGAACTTCCATGATTATAAACAAAAATGGTTTGAGACGAAATAATACAGTACGACTCATATTAGACTGCTCCGATAGTTTAGCGTTGCATTCACCTTTTCTTGGAGAAAGCAGTGGGTTAAACATTGACACGGGTGTGAATTTCATCTTAAAGCTTACTAGTCTAACGCCTAAATCCATCTGGTTTCCACATATATTTGATGGTTGATTTTATCCTGCCCTTGCTACGAGTTGGCACCAATTAGTAGCAACCGAATTGCTCCTACCAAGTGACCCCACTCTTCTAGTACCTTCGATGTTTTTCATGTCGTATTTATTCTCTAAACTCTTCCACGCATTGCGAATTAAGCGTATAAGTAGCGCAAGGATATCTTTGCGCACAGGATATCTTTGTCAGAAAATGATGACTTGGTGTCAACTCACACCGACTGAATTGCTCCCTCCCATGTATGAGTAAAATTCCGCAAACATTGAAATTTAATTGTTAAAGAACATTTTTCTTGTTCTATATATGATTTGAAGCAGTAATCTTTCGTTCCATCAGTAGGAATTCACGCAAACTCGTTGTCGGTGAGCAGGAAAACATTCACATGACGTTTTACCTCACAAAATCGGTGACCACTTCCTTTTTCATTTCCCCATTTTCCGGACCATATGCTTAACATTGAAATCAATACTTACCTTTTCTTTTGACGCGCTTTTTGTGTTCCCTATTCGTTGTTGTCTTTTTTGGTGGCTCTAAAGAAAAAAAAACATTAAATCCAGGTATCTTCTTGGAACAGATTCAGATCCTTAACCGAATTTCAAAAATTTTTACCTTTCACTTGTTCCACATTGTCTAGCGACAAACTCCTCAACGAAAACTGTAGTCGCTCTGAAAATGAAAGCAGAAGCAAACATTTCCCTCTATTACATATGATTATGGCAGAAATCAATCAATAATTTCAAATTCTAAGGATGCACTCTTCAGTTCTTATTCCTACTTACTAAACACACATGTGAAGAATAACAAGGGAAAGGCGATTATTAGTGGTTTGAAAACGTTTCTACTGTGAGATTTCGTTTCGTCTCCTAACAACTGAGTTATGAGGACAATTAGCCACTTTTCTAGAAGCTCTTATTTCACAGACATGAACTAAAACCAAAAGGACGTTAAGATATGAGCAAAACTCGGAACCTCAATTTGGCTTCGAACCCACGACCACCCTTACCAGAAAGAAGCTCACGTGCTATTCACTACAACCCTGACAAGTGCAATCGCGGGTTCCAGGTCCAACTGAGGTTCCGAGTTTTGCTCATATCCCAGCATTCTCGTGGTTGTAGTTCACATCGTACCTTGCCATACAAAAAGAATAGAAAGCAAACACAACTGAAGACATTGTGATTTCCACTGAAGGTTTTTAAAGTGCTTTCGGAACAGTATTACTGAAAACGTTAGCAAATGGAGTAAAAGTAGAAATCTCTAATGAAACACAATAGGCCGCAATGTGTTTCTTAACTCCAAATTAATTTTAATTTAATTTAAATTAAAGAACTGTTTCGAAAGTAATTTAGTTTTGATTTTTTAATATTATCGATTTTTGGAGTTGCTGGCGTATCCTTTGTACATCCATTCGGTTAACAGTCTTCTACTTTTTATTTAAAGGTCTCTGAAAAATTCTCTCGTTTTTTGGCATATGAACTCCCCGCTTTCTAAATGAGTAGGATGCTGCGTCGTGTGGAAAAATCCTTTGTATAATCCTTGTCGACGAAATTTTAAGAACAAAGTTTTTCTTGGAAGATGAACAGAAATGCCTTAATGGCTGATTCAGATTTGAAACAGCTCGAATTCCAGAAATTCGAAGTGGTGAGGAAATTTCCACCTACTTTTAGTCGAATCACGATGAACGAGTCCACAAGTTCGCTGACAGTTACGAATGCGACAATAGTAGATTGGTGGTGACGGTAGTGGCATACGGAAGGCAAACTGAGTAGGACCTGATAGTATTCAGCGGAAATTCATCGTTCTGCACAATGAAGGAGTGACGGAACTCGATGAGGAAATCTAGGCAAGTACAGCGAAAGCGAGTGGCCACCAATGAGATCCTACCTTTAGAGTGTTGCCCTTTCATTCGACTAAACTTTAATTGAACTCGTCCCATAATTAGTGGATGTAACTGAGACTTATGTGTATCTTTAATGAGATAGTCCGAAAAGTTTTTTCATACATATTACTAAAGTTGTAAATAGTTGCAAAACTCCGGACCACAAGTGTCTTGAGGTGAAGGTTCCGAGTTTTGTGGAGATCTCATCATAGTTGTAGTTATATTTCACATCATAGCCTGCCTTAAGAACAGATGGTGAATAAAGATAAACTGACAGAAATCCGCCCATATCACAACAATTTCCACTTAATGTTTACTAATGTAAAGGAATTGTAAGCCCAACAATTTATAAACGTTAAAGGATGGAGCCCTCAGCGTCTATCAATCCCAGAGGGATGTTCTATGCATTCGAGTTCATTAAGCGTCGTTTGAAGGTGACTGAATGCACATCTGGTCTTTACACCGACTCGCGGTGGTCTATCGATGTATCAAACCAGTGCTGCTATCTTCCCAAACAAGTCTGGTACCCATTTGCCGACCCCGGATGGATGGAAGGCTCGGTGGGCCACTTGGCGAAGATCGATCACATGCATGTATTGCAGGAGACAGAGTAGTCTTTTGTACTCTTGCGATACATTGAGTCTTGTTACCGTGCGGATGTGGTCCATTGTACTAAATCCTTTTCAAACCCCTGCTTGATCACATAGTTCTCCTTCGTCAATTGCTCTGTCAGCAGTGTTTAGGATGAGTTCAGTGAAGTGTTTGTAGACGACATACAGTAAGTAGAGGTTCCCGATATCGTGTAGGTCACCCTTCTTAAACAATAACACGGCCTTGCTGGTCTTTCACTGAGCAGCGACTTTGCATTCAGACAGGTGACGTGTGCATCCGGGCCAATGTCTTTATGAGGACTGGCGGAAGGTTTTTCAGGCGTTCAGACCTTATCCTACCCGGACGTGATGCTGTTCAATTTTTCACCGAAGAAATAACATGTCGGATTTCGGAAGGGAGAACCGGTGGTGCGACATATCCATCCTCTTTTATTTGAGGGAAGGTGGACGTAGCTATTGAAGAGATCTGAGTAGTATAGGTGAATGATTTTCTCCATCGCCTTTCTGGACGCTGTAACTGTTCCATCTGGGCGTTGAAGTGCAATCATCTTGGTCTTGTAATTGGCGAAGCTTCGCTGGACTTTGCGAATGCTTTTCCCAGTATCGGCTCTGTTGTTTCTGGAGACGGAGGTCTCCTGGTGACATTCTTACTTTCAGCTTTGATAGCGCAACCATGAAAATGTTGAGCAAGCCGGTCGTATTCGTTGTCGATGTTTTCAATAACGGTATCTTCCTAAGAGTCGCCTAATGGTCTAAATAAATCCCAGTCCATTTTAATATTAGGACTTCGTGCATTAAACTTAGCCGGATTCTCTCTTTTCCGCAAAAATGAAATCTTGGGCAAGGTGGCGATTTTAGAAAGCAATTTAGACTAATGTGGTAGTCTGTTCTCAAAAATCATTTAGTAACGACTGAATAGGGCGTATGTAACGCAGTGGTCAGAGGTGTACTGCAATGCACATTGGATCGATCCCACGTCCAAGTCCACCAAACGTTCCATTCCTCCGAGGTCAGCAAATTGGTGCCAGACTTGCCTGGGAGGATAGCAGCACTGGCTCAAAACATCGGTAAGCCACCGTGAGTCATTGTAAAGGACAGATATGCATTCAGTCACCTCCAACGACGCTTGATGAAGTCTAATGCATGGCGCACCTCTCTGGGATTGGTCAACGCTGAAAACTTTATCTTTATCCTTTTAATACATATGTGTATATACATACATATGTATGTATGTATGCATGTATATATATATAGGGCGCCTCTAGCGCAATGATAAGATGCGCCCCACCTGGGTTCTATCCCACACCTCAGGTTCACGAAGCCTTCCATTCCACCGGCTTTGGCAAATCGGGTCATAGAGACCGAAAATAAATAAACAGAAATAAATAGTATTACACGTGAGAAGTTCATGTATATCTATCAATAAACCAAAATAAAATACAGAGACTTTGACTACGCACTATGTTGGTCAACATAGTGGATGCATGTAAGAAGGGGCTTTGTGAAAATCTTAGTGATTCGATGTGCTAATGTCCAAGCGGGCCGAACTAGGGTCAACAAGCCTGAGACGAAGCAGTGGTGGTTGTGGTGGCGACGATGATAATGGTGATGCATATCGTCACCACGGCGACCGATGTCACCTCGCATGAGTGACATGATTATTGAGACTGACAGCTGCAATCAAAGTGATTGAGGTGTTAGAGGTTTTTTCTTTATCTTCATGCACTAGTGCTAGGCAGGAAAACAGCTACAGTTAATGAGTTACAATTTAGCCCCGACTAAGTGAGTAAGAGGACTTTGCCGATGTTACATCGTAACAACAGAACCTTCTAAGACTTTCATGAAAGCAATCTAAAAACATTAACACTGCAGAAGATGAGAGTTAGAAACAGCTGACATGTTAGATGTGCTTATCAGTGATGGAGATGAAGATAAACAGAAAGTATGAGAAGAATGAAAAGAACAAGGACATGAAAAGGAAAGCAGATTAGAAGTTGTCTTGTTCGCGTCGTCAGATAGAGGTGTGTTATCAGAATTCTGTGATAAAATGTTGCAGAGAACTTAACACGTTGGATTCAGTAAACCTCATTTGAGATGGCCGGTATGGAAAATCATTAGCTGACAAAGAAAGCTACGACTACATTCTCTAAAATCCTTCTTATCTGCTTTTCCTTCCTACATTTTTACTGCTGTTACTATTTTTTTCGGTTTTTTAAAAGAACTCTTTTACGGGTACACAATTTTTTTGGACGAATGAACCGAGAACTCTACGAAAAAATGGGACAGTTGCGACAACTGCTATAAGATCTACACTGAATTTGGTCCGAGCTCAGCTAATGGACGAACTGCCCATCATCCAGAAAACCAAATTATCATCTCCACCAGATCCATGGTAATTCAGATAACACAGTTCAAAAACCGCTTGTGAAATTGATGAAATATATGACGGTAGTGAGAATATAGTAAGAAAGACTGACAAGAATCTTCCAGACAATGCCCGGATGCAGAATAGCGTAGTAATACTTATACGAAATGAAATCAAATTTTCATAGGCAGCGTCTCCATATGAGTGATATATGTGGCGTTCTGATGGTAGGCTGCTTTACATACTTCATTGGTTCCATCGTTCGCCAGGGTTAATCAAACCCATCATCTCTTCTGGGTCGATAAATTATTACTTGGCTTTTCTAAGAGGATAAACATCATTGGCCAACACATTGCGTAGGCCGAATATGCGTCCCATCACTTCAACGATGTTACGAATGGAGCTGAATGCACAGCGTATGTCGAAGGGGTTTATTGACATCTAACGCCATATCGTCCTACAACTTTATCCCCTACGAACAAAACATGATCCTTGTCATATTCGTCAATGGAAAGAAGCCGAATTGAGTGATTTTAGAAGATAACAAAAATCAATGAATGCCTTATTGACGCCCATTAGAGTCGCTTAACGGTCAATAAAGCGACAAATGGAACACGATTGTTTAATGAAGCAAGTCGTTTCGTATTATCTCATTAAGTGATTAATTAATATAAGATTTAAGCTCTTGCGAAATCAATGGTGTTTCCGATCAGGTTAATTGAGATGTGAAACGAGTCTGTATGACAACAACTAGCATGCATTACTATCATTAGCAAGTCGGAGTCCTAAAAGAAATTTTCAGTTATATTAATTGACTAGTGGAATATCTCTTATTCGGTCTTCGGCACCGAATAATCGCTTGCTTGAGGTAGAATGCTCAACTTTGCACGAATTTGCCACATGGGACTTTTTGGGGAATAGTAGTAGTATGATATTAACAATCTGACGTTGAGCGAAGCACGAGCGAAACACGCGAGAAGCCGAGTAAAACACTGGAACACCAACTGGATAACTAATATTGCTCCGGATATTCTCTTCATAACGGGCGAGGGATACCGAATAAACTTGAATTAATGTTCAGGCAAAGGTTCTAAGCAGCTTCTCAGCTACCACATTCTGATAGAGCTTCTTGCACAGAAGGTTCGTGAAGACTGTAAAATAGCTTATACAGAAAGTAGATGTGAAGGCTGCATGAAAACTTCCACAAAGTGTTTATGTGGAAGCGGTACAAAGTGTAAGTAAGCACAGCTGACATTGGAGACACACAATAATATAAAGAATAGAAACTATTCAGGATATAGACAGTCTAAACGAAGGACCCGCACTGTTTGGTGGTTGATGCGTTAGGTCTCGGAATGGGTAATACCGTGTTCATTCCCCCACCGCAGACACCTACGGTCAGTTTTGCAAATATCTCAGCACCATTGTGGTTGTATTCAGGAAATTTTTACTATATTAAGCGCATACCAAGAAGATCATCAACTTACAATTCTTAGACATCGTCATTAAAATGTTGACTGAAAATCATAATGCATTTCATGTTTCTTAATAAGGAAAGACTAACCAGTGAATCTTCCTGCACAACAGGGACTGCTAAGGAACCAGCTTTATACTACAGACTTCTTAAGGTTTCTTCACACTATTTCAGCTTTCGTCCACTTCATCATCACATCCTTAACACAATTCCGAGCGCATCATACTACTTTCATGAGTTTCTCCTTCCGAATTACGCCATTGTTCTTCAGAATTCCGCATCCAACCATCTGGCACTAAAGTCGGTTCTCGATAAGCCTATTAGTAGAGTGATAAGCTACGACGTCAACGAATCCATGTTTACTCTTCTATAGTGTGGGCTTCTCTCTCTAAATTAAAATCTCCTCGTATTCGTGGAAATTCGCTTCACTTTCATTCTTCGTTAAAGAAGATTAAATTCCGATGAAAAGAAAAAACATTTAGAAAAAGAAGTGGATACAATATCTACTAGAAATGAGCTTCGTCCTAAGCATATAGGAGAGCTCTTCCACTAAAATAATTCATATTTGAGAACGAAGACAAAATTTTGATAAAACAAAACTACATGGGAAGGTCTCCCAATTAAACATTTAATTGCGTAATAAAAGACTTACTCATATACCTATATACATAACCCGACAACACATACCTCCCAATGGTTCACTGTCTCATCGTGGCAGGGAGGTGTTTCTAGGTGTCAGACTGCGATTTACAGCGGAGTTCATTCCCCAGTAGGACCAACAAAGATAAAGAATAGTCCGACGTCTTCATCCAAAACCTCAGGTAAGAGTAAACCAATACCACGAACCACAACCGTTCCTTCGTCGAACTAGCCGCGCGGTGGCAAATCCCCTTTGATCCACAAAGATGGTGACTGCTTAAAGTGGTAACTACCTGAAGAAGACTTCGGCAAGGGTGACCTCGGGACTCCAGGGAGCCATAATGGCTAAGCTGGCAAATTTCTGGAGAATAAGAATTATGCTGAGACCGCACAACCAGTGAAGATGGGCCATAGAAGTATCCAGGTAAGCAAGACATCAAATAGTGTCCCAATCCCAGCACTTCACTCGATTCCATTTTCTCCTCTCCGCGTGTTCAAATTAGCTTGTGAGTTGGGCTGCAATTTAGCTTTTGAGTTCGGTTGCTTCTTGCCCATCTGTTCTCTTCATGGATTTAATCGTTCGATGTTACCCGAGTTCACTTTCGCTAGACACTTGGGATGGGTAGTAGAGTTAAGGCGCTGGTAGAATTGATTATACTTGGAATCGTGGGAAGACCCTATTGGAGTGCTCCCACTTCTTCAGCAAAGGTAGACAGTGAAAGCTTTTCACAGAGAACTTTGGCACCATTATTCTGCCTTCGGAGGAATGGATAGCGTAGCTGAGTCGCAAAGTATTCGAACCAGCGATCATGCGTGTGTTACGGCACCACGTTACTGACCATTGCGCTTCCCACGTTCTTTCAATAAAGCGTAAGGGCAACAATAGATAATGCTTTGAGTTGTTTTGATTTAAGTGAATCCGGTGTTGGGCATAACAGCAACAGTGTGGCAGTAAACTGTCACTGAGTTAGTTACACTCAGTTAGATGAAACACTTTCTAAGAACATTTATCCACAACCATTTGTTGAACAAATGTTAAAATTTTATACATTTGACAGAGAAATGGAAAGTAAAAAAAAAAGCAAATGGAGAACAAAAGAGAATGAAAGGAAAATAAACACAGAAACCAAAGCAGGACATAGAACGAGGCTCAAGAAGTTTCTCGGCATGGGAAAAGAAGCTTAGCTCCACCAATACAGAAAGAAGAGGCGGGAAGTTCTAGATCAGTATTGAATCTTCATATTCCCCCGAACAAATCACATTTGCTTAGTGTTGAATTAGAACCTTTGCAACCAACATTTCGAAGTAAAGACTATAAGAATAGCGTGAAGGAAAAATAAACAACAACAGAATCACATTCAGCGAAGAAAGATTTTCGTGAAAAGGCAAGTGTAGAGAAAAATAAGGGTCGGGGATGTAATAATGAAATTCCTTTAATTGGCGCAATCTATTGCCTAGTCGAGAAACGGTCATAATCTCACAGACTCAGAAAATCTATTAAAAAATACAGCAGAACAACACTTGGGCCCGCCCACGCAGAAGGTGCGCAGTCGATTCCATTCTATAGGACGGGAAAATTTCAGAAATATCCATAGCAATGATCCCGTACCTTACTTCAGCAAATCATCATGTTCATTACGCATTACGCAGAAGTAAAAAACGAAATTCGATGTGATATCCAACCACTGGACACTTCAAGGCTAGACTGAAGCGCAGCGTCGTACGATAGAGGGACAAAACGGCCCGCCCTATAGGGTGAAATCTCGTGTGCGCCAAATTTTGATTAATCAGCGTGAACTGCATTTTTCATACCGGCTAATAACAGTTTTGGTTTCATACGACCAACGAAATTCTACGGAACACTAATTTGGAAATTACTTCTTCGCACTGGAATATTCGTTATAATATTGAATAATAGATACTCTATCCTTTAATGTACAACAATACAACCGATAAAGAGAGAAAAAACGGTAAATAGGAGCAACCTCGATTGGAATGTTATGCTTAGATCACAAGGACGTCGATAACCCGCGATGGAACAGAGTCATAAAATAGTAAGGTGAAACAGAAAATAATACGACGCCCGTTCTTCCACATCTTTCCATTTTGTTTCTATCTCACCTCGTATCAGCCAATAGATGAAAAAGTTGACGACGATCATAATCATTTTAGTGACCCTGATCCCTGCCCTTGGTATCCAGATTTTACAATTCAACAACGATACCAGTGCTTGCAATCATATACGCATAGTCCTCAAACCCAACGTAGAAGCGATGACGGTAGATATGACGATAACCGCGTCGACAGCGACGACATCGACGACGTCGTCGACCTCGACGATGTCGTCGGTGATTCAAATGCCGTCATCGACTGTGTCTTGGTGGCGTTGTTGTTGTTGTTCGTGGCTGCTCCGGCGCACCGTCAACTGGACTGCTGTGGTTTCTGTTCACCTATAACGACGTCTCTAGAGCTCTGAATTCCATAAAATGCTGCCAAAATAAGCATTTCTAAGCACTTTCTTTTCTTCCCAATGAGACGTTCTATTGTTTGTCACTTACAATTAGTGCTAATCAATTAGTGAGTAGAATGTTGTGTATCATAAGTGTTACACAGCAAGTGAAAAGAAGTGAAATATAATGGATAAAAAGGATAAAGCTCTTAACGTTGATCAATCCCTGAGCGATGCGTCATGCATTCGACTTCACTAAGCATCGATTGGAAGTGACTGAATGCATATCTGGCCTTTACAATGACTCGCGCCTACCGATGTATCGAGTCAGGGCTGCTATTCTCCCAGACAAGTCTGGTACCAATTTGCCCACCACGTAGAGATGGAAGGTTTGGTGGGCCAGAGCGGGGATCGATTCCACGTGTGTGTTGCAGGGCTCCTCCGACCACTGTGCCATACGCGCCCTTGAAGTGAAATATACATATAGAAGAACTGTGAATAGTTACCGATTTCAAGAATTTCCGGATGTCGCTCGATGACGCGAATTAGAATGCCATTGATGTAGACCCGCAGTTTTTGATTACAGATTTCTTGTTCACGAAGCGCTTCCAGAATCTTCAAAATAAAAACACTTCTTTTTAGGCAAACAAGAGACGACATGCAATACATGTCGATTTCGATGCCCACGTGAAAGCTTGAGAGAAAAAAGACATCGTGCATTTGTTCTAATACACATTACTTCTGTTTATTTCACGATAAAACAACTTTTACTACAACTTTTGCATTGGAAAGATATCTTTCGCAACAATTAGATATTATACCAACAGTGCTCCAAAGAAAGCGATCCTCAACAAATTACAATTCTCAAAAGGAAAGGTATACTTTGGACGAGCTTGTTCGACTTGCCATAAAGATGATTGCCAACGACGAGGATAATAAGATATCTCTGCTGCACGTTTCTCTAGCCGATTAAATGATAAAGAGATAATATTGTGAACCAACTTTAATCTCGGTATGAACGAGGCTAGGATAGTTGTTAATGACAGAATACTTGTTGCCGCTTTTACGGGCACAACGGATGGAACACGTTGGTTTCAATTCATGACGGCAAGAAGTTAGGCGTCGTTCCACGTTGCCACAACATAATATTCTGCCGTTCAAAGCCTTTCCTTCCATATTTAAAATTCCCATTAGCAATAAAGTTTGTTATGGACCTGTTCCGAGTTTCCGCCTCCACTCATCAGCTCGTCGGCCAGCGACGGCTGATCCGCCAGTAGGGTTCGCCCTCGTTCTACACTGGTGGCTAATAGCTGGGCTTGCAGATCGTCACGTTCACGTTGTAGATCGCGAATAACGGAACGAGCTTGTTCGAGTGATTCCTCGAGACCGCTAATCTTAAAAAAAATTCATCGATATCAGAGCATTTTTGCTTCCATAGGAAGACTAAACAGTTTCAGAAAATTTGTCTGCCCCACATTTGAAACAAACTCCATAAATGAAAAGTATTTGTTCTTTCTTAAAAGAGAAAAAGAAAGGGCAACAGCTAAAAACAGCATGTTGGAGAGTTTTGGGAAGTGTTGGAAATAATGGTAACTTTAGGGCGGGAAAATATAAAAATTTGGAGAAAAAACCATGAGAAAATAGTGTGGTTCAGATTGTTGATCGTGGAATTGAAGTTCCAAATCTTTTTCTCTTCGGTTTCTTTCATTTTCCTTATTCCTCTCTTCCATTCCTTTTCCGTTCCTTTTCATTTCTCTAGACGAATACCTGACTGACCTGCTCGACAATTGAACCTTGTCTATGCGGACCGTTTCGTCGTAACTCTTCCGTCTGTTGAGTAAGCACTTCAACCATTTCCGAACTACTGTCGATGTCTTGTTGAGCCTCTTCTTTGAACCTATATGTAATAATTATTGCTGCAAATAAAATTAAGTAAAAATGGCAGAAGACTCTCGAACAAGTTACGAAATATGCCCGCAGAAAACGTGAAACCTTGACGATAGTGTGATTCATATGTGATTCATGCCCGATTTCCTATTGCTGCAATAAGAACTGTGGGTGACGATGAACCTCTTGAATTGCCTTTCCAGTTTTACTCGTTCGTCCTCCAGGTCTTCAACCAACAGTTTACTTTCGACTAATTGTCCACGAAGATCCTCAACAATATCCTGAGTTCGTGCCGTCTCTTCACGTGCTTTTTCCGCATCTTTCTTCGCTGCTTGTAGATCCTTCTCCAGCATCTGAACAATAATAATAATAATAATAATAAAATAATAATAACAATAATAATAATAGTAATGATAATAAAAATAATAATGAGCAACTTTTTCCGCGACAGAGGAAATGAAAAAGTAAAAAAGTGAGGATAAACTAAATAAGTGACTTTAAGTGAATAAATAACTTCCGAAAGCTACAAAGGGCCACTTTTTCCAGCATATTTTTCAATTTAGGTTATTATGTGCCCTTATTAAGCGAAACTTTTCATCACTGTTAACTGCTTAACTTCACTAACTTGATACTTAAGTGTGAGACTTTCCGTTTCTAACAGCTTCTCCCGTTCTAGTCGTTGAAGTAACTCCTTCGTTCGGCTTTTTTCCTCTTGAAGTTGTTCTCGGAATCTGAACTCATTCATTCATTCTAACGTTATTCTAACGTTTAACCCATTTCGATAAGACGTAAGCAGCTAACCACTAACCCTCCAGGAACCACTTCTTTGTTATTGTATTTCCCGACATTTTCGCGAAGTGTAAATGTAAAGTTCGCTTGTCTCAAGGTTTGTTAAGTGGACGGGTTTTACCAGCAGAATATGTGATACTGGGCCAGTTATTCAATATTGCAACGAACAAGGATCAAACAGAACGACTAACTGTAATAAAATCACAATAATGCTGAGATATTCACAAAACGTGGAGTCCCAGACCAGCTTCGAACTCGCGGTTACCTTTTGTGGGCTTACGTGTTACTCACTGCACTGAAGCTCTTGCTTTGCCTTTCTCCCAGCCAGTTTTTTCAACCCTAACGGTACTAGAAACCTGGATAATGGCTGGAATAAAATCGTTGCAAATAGTTTTTAGTTGTCAACATGCCTTGAAATTTTGCTAATGAGAAGTGTAAGTGTCCTATCATACGACATCACGATTAAATCCCGCCCATGTACGAGTTATTGTCACCGTTCGTACCGTTGCTCAGCTAAGAGAAGTTGTTCCTCGAGTACATGAACCCGTTCGGTGAGCACAGCGTTCTCAGTACGAAGTCGTCCGCGTTCATCGTTACTGTGCAACTGTTGCTCTTCCATTTCGGACAACTTCTTCGAGATCATCGTTACCTTAAACGTGAACAGAACAATACAAAACATTTAGCGGCGAGTCGCAATTTACACAACAGTTATGAAATCCGGAATGTTTCATTCCAGGCAACTAATGGGTTTCAAGTGCAATTTATAAATGTTTAAAGCAGGAAGAAAAAACGAATCAACGCTATTCAAAATCGCTCGATCTTAGAAAGACTCTTTTCACTGAACTTTAGCACTTTAGCGATAGTTCAGTATTTAAAAAACCTGGAAAATATGGAAAACATCACTGTTATTTCTCTAGAGGAATTTTCCGCTTCCTATTCACCGGAACGTTTCGTATTTAAAGCTAGAAATCAGAAGTATTGATTTTCATAATTATTAATTATTGGAAAAATTTGAAAAGAATCTTATGTCATCTAAGGAAACCTAGTCTTGAACAGCTAGAATATTTTTAGAAAATTCCACATTTTTCCAATTATTTGTTCTTCTACTGGGTAAAACAAATAGAAATTGGTTTACGCAATTTTTTCACCTAACTAACTAACATTATTTGGACACTATGAGCTACATATGGGTCACAGGCTTCTTGTATTACCGCATTTATACACATCCTTGACCGTATTCTTTTCATTTACTCCAAAAATTATAAATATAATATTTCAAAATCGACTTTGTTTCAACCTCAGTAGGACTAATCAATATGCATCAATATGCATTCCTTCCTTAATAAGCAGAGGTTGATAAATAATTTTTATTCAGGTAGTGTCTCGACGTCCTCTTTCTTCTTCATCAGAGCCGACGATCCGAGTCGATGGTCCACAGTTGTTCGCCTTCTCGATATGGCGTCTTCGTCTTCGTATAGAATCGGATCTTCCACAGTGATAAGTGGAATCTCCCACTGATTAGTCATATCGAGGTTAAAGGAAAGTCGGCTTTGAAATATTGTTATCCTCTATACTAGCTCATAATGATACTGACTTCTGCAGAGTGGATTATCCCGGAAAAACAAGTTGTTATCGCCAGACAATAACTGTTATTAACATTCACTGTTCTGTATAAAACAGCATCGCCAGGTAAGTGTGCCTCATTCGAGATATCCTCATTGTGGAAGATCAGACTCGATACGAATACAAAGACCCCACATGACAAGTATGAAGGGTCGTGAACCATCGACTAAGGTCATCGAATTTGATGAAGACGAAGACGTCGAAACTTTTGCTGAATGAAGATTATTTGTTAACCTGGTGTAAGCGTATCAAAGAAAAAATCACTTGTATCACCTGTAGTCCCGTTGGTCGTCGAGTGGCTCGAGCGGGAGCCAGTAAATCTTCCATTTTTCCCTGTCGCGTGCAAGAGTGTAGCCCAGTGGGTTCTGCTCGCTTTAGGGATTCGTCAAGCATCGTATCTTTCTTCTAGGCTCCTCGTGAAGAACTCTGACCATCGGGTCGGTGGTCTTCCTGCAGTACGTTTGACATCCCAAGGAATCCAGTCACTAACGGCTCTTGTCCATCGGTTGTCATTCATACGCATTACGTGTCCGGCTCTCTTTATCTTCGACTGTTTGGCGTACAGAACGACATCTTTGATTTTTGATCGTTGACGCAGATTGGAACTTCAGATCCCATCCCTTACTTGTGTGGAACGGGATACTCCTAGCATCGTCCTTTCGACTGCGCGTTCTATAACGCCGAGTGAGCTTTCAACTTGCTTACGCAGCGACCAGGTTTCTGACGCATACGTTAAGACAGGAAGTACCGTTGAGTCGAAAAGGTGGGCACGGAGTTGGGTGTTCTTTGTTCTCCTCACTGCATCCTCGATGCTCTTGAAAGCTAACCAAGCCGCTCGTTTTCTTCTGGTCAGCTCTGGAGCTAGGTCGCTCATCATATTGATTTCCTGACCTATATACATAAAACTGGAGCATTCGGAGATATTCGTTCCGTTGAGCGTGAATGGGGTATGTGAAACCAATCCGTTCTTCATGAGCATCGTTTCTGTGAGATTTGGTCGAAGACCAGTTTTTCCATAGGCTTTATCAAAGTCGGCAAGCATACGTTCCGCTTGGCTTGGAATGTTTGGTGTTGTGAGAACGATGTCATCAGCAAAGCGAAGATGGTGTAACTGCTGACCATCGATTTTCATTCCTATTATCCCATCCCAATGTTTCCATAACGTTCTCGAGGATGGCGGTTAATAATTTTGGCGAGATGGTATCGCCTTGCCTAACTCCTCTTTTGACGTTAATGTTAATATCTTTGTAGAATGGTGATATCTTGGTTGTGAAATTTTTGTATAGCTCACGAAGAATCTCTATGCACTGAGTAGGAACTTCTTGACATCTCAACTGAATCAAAGGCCTTCTGTAAATTGATGAAAGTGAGACAGAGCGGTCTTTTGTACTCTCGCGATACTTCAATAAGCCGTGTTACCGCGTGGATGTGGTCCATTGTACCAAATCCTCTTCGAAACCCTGCTTGCTCACATGGCTGTCCCTCGTCTAGTGTTGTGTCAAACCTGTTTAGGGTGACTCGAGTGAAAAGTTTATAGACGACAGACAGCAAACAGATTGGGCGATAGTTGCCGACATCACAGAGGTCACTATTCTTGAGTAATAGCACGGTCTTGCTGGTCTTCCACTGAGCAGGAACCTTGCATTCAGACAGGTAACGTGTGAAGAGCCGAGCCAGTGTGTTTACGACTACTGGCGGAAGGTTCTTTAGGTCTTCTGATCTTATCCTGTCCAGACCTGGTGCTGTTCGATTTTTCACCGACGAAATGACATGTCGGATTTCGGAAGGGAGAACCGGTGGTACAACATATCCATCCTGTTTTATTTCATATGACGAAAGATGGACGTGGCTATCGAAGAGATCCGAGTAGTATTCGTAAATGATTTTCTCCACTGCCTTTCTGGACGCTGTAACTGTTCCGTCTGGGCGCCGGAGAGCAATCATTTTGGTCTTGTAATCGGCAAAGCTTCGGTGTGCTTTGCGAATGCTTTTCCTAGTCTCTGCAACTTCGACCATTGCTGCTGCTCTTCTCTCTTTAAGATCATCTTTTATCGTCTGTCTGCATTGTTTTGCAAGTTCATATGTCAGTACGCGATTACCTGCAGTTGGTACAATTGCACGCTGGTGTATTAGCTCGAGTGTTTCTGGAGACAGACATCTCTTGGTGACTGCCACGACCGACTTTCTATTAACCTCGGCATTGATCAAGTGATTTTGTTCGTATTTTTTTGAGCAAACGCGAGGTGTTATTGTTCTTTGTTCACGATTAAGCTGACGTTTCGGCGAATTTCGCCTTCTTCAGAGCCTGGAAAGGTCAAGTTGATACCAACTCACTCGGCCAGACGCCTCCATAACCAAACAAGGAAACTCCAAACCAAGATTTCAATCACTTTGAACACAGCTTTGCACACTCACCTTTTGAAATCTTGGTTTGGAGTTTCCTTGTTTGGTTATGGAGGCGTCTGGCCGAGTGAGTTGCTATCAACTTGACCCTTCCAGGCTCCGAAGAAGGCGAAATTCGCCGAAACGTCAGCTTAATCGTGAACAAAGAACAATAACACCTCGCGTTTGCTCAAAAAAATACGAACAAAATCTCTTGGTGACCTTCGAACTCTCAGCTTTCAGCTCAGCGCTAACGTGAAGATGTTGAATGAGCCGATCGTATTCTTCGTCGATGTTATCGACAACAGCATCTTCCCAACAGCCTGCTAATGAATTGAATAAATCCCAGTTTGCGGTGGGTCTGGAACTTCGGTTTTGGAATTTAGCAACTTTTTCTCCTTTCCGGGAGAAATAGAATCGTGCACGAAGGATACGGTGGTCTGATTCCGTGTAGAATTTTAGGGCAACAGCGTTATCGGTTAGGCAAAACCTTCTATTTACTATGATGTGGTCTATTTCGTTATGGTACTCTCCATCGGGAGACTCTCACGTGCAGCGCTGAGGGTGGGGCTTTTGGAACTGCGAGTTACCATGGATGGCCTTAGTCGCCATGATAAGCTCAGAGAGCCGCTCACTCTGTTCTTTCCATTCGAATGCGCGAGTTCCAATGTGACGTTCCTCAGAAGTTCTTCTTGGTCCAATCCTGGCGTTGAAATCTCCAATTTAACCTAGAAGAATGTGTGGTCTTCCCTGTAGAACTTCTCCAAGTTGATATAGAACGCTTCGACTTCTTCGCCACAGTTTGATGTTGGCGCGTAAACGACGAAGATTGTCAAAGCCGGAATTGATCCACGTCTTCTTAATCGTAAACGTCCGATTCGGGTTGTAAGTTGTTCGAATGAATCGATGTTCATAGACAAACTCGTGTTAACGAGAACGCCGACGCCTCCGGCTCCTCTACTGTCGCATGTTCCGACGAACAGTACTTCTCCGGTGTCATAGACGGCGTTGAAAGGCTGGCGTCTTCTCGTCTCGACCAGGGCGATGACGTCGTACCTTATCGTTTTTGTTTGCATGAGCAAGTCTTCTACCGAGGACTCGGATTCAAGTGCACGTGCATTGTAGGTACAGATTGTCACCATAGTGAAATCCAGGCAGCTTCCATTGGCCCTGAGATTTTAACAGCCTCTCCATACTCGTCTTACCCAACGCTACGAAATTGGGGTCTCTTTCGGGATCAGGGGAATGAGGCCCGTTTTTTTTTTTTACTGTATTTAGCATTTTTGATACCCACGTATAGCTCGCTAGGCTCTGAACGTGGAGGCTGGGTATACTCACGGGTAGCTTGCCAGGCTCTCCCAGAGTGGACATGGAGCTCATTTGTTGGAGGCGACTCCTAACCGCCTCCCACATTCTTCCCTGTCACTTGATTGCAGGCTTTTGGCCGAATTGACTCGTAGAATACAATCCGCATAAGCAAGAAGGCACCCACACACACATGCATGAATACGCCTAGCAGATACAGAAAGCATGTTCCAAATCAGCGCAGCAGAAACAGAGAGTCCATCCCCTGGATCCACCTGCCTCTCAGCGAAGCAAAGACCGCTTTTGGTCCGCGATTAACCCCCTATCCGTCACCTGGGAACGCGCCGCGTAGCCTCGAGACTAACCGGCTCGGGATCACTCATATGAGGAGGATCCGTGAAAGAAAAAAAATACATACTGTAAATCTGTTTCATTTATTTATTATTTGACCCGTCCTCACGTCTAGTGTGCGGATCCCAGCACCTCTCACATTCAATTCGTTTCCTCGCATCCATCATACGTGAAAATCTTCCAACTTTACGTGTGGCTTCGGTTGCTGCTTGAAGATTTTCATTTCATCTTGAATGTCAAAAATGCTAGTCGAGCAATTCCCCATGGAACTCTAAGATAGTCGGGCTAGAACGTTCCCAGTTGAACTGCCGAGAGTGATTTTTTCCGAGACAAGTCCGCTACCAATTTCCCGACCCCGGAGAGAGGAGAGGCCTGCTTGGCTCGGGGCGGAATCGAACTAGCATCACGCTCGTGATATTGCAAATACATTGTAGATACGCATAATATATTGCTTAGTCCACATAAGTTCTTACAGGATTGGATTGTTTTCTGTATTCAAAAAATGCAATTCAGAAGAGAAGAACACTGAGATAAATGAAGTATATTTAAGGATATTCCATACAATCGTTATTTAAATAACAGACCCAGGAGAATCAAATATTACAAAGTACTCTCTTCTGTTCTCCATCAAGTTTTGCTATCTTTGTTGAACACTACACTAGATCTTCGCTGGTTTCCTGTTCATCAGCGTTAACGCGCGCTATCGCTAGCGCGCGTCATTAGTTCGATAACGCTTTAACATCGATTAGAGACAATCTGTCAATAAACTTCGAGAGAAGAAAAAGAGTTTAAGCAAGAAATGTTAGTCATTCTTAAAAGTTCGATTTATGTAAAGTGCTCAAATCTAAAGGATATAGGCGTTCCACGATTTGATGACAAATGGCCGATAGTCCACCGAAACAATGAAAAACGTTATCAGAAAATGAACATCTGTTTTCTGCAGCAGTGCAATGGTTCCAAGGAACATATCGGACAGCTGTTTTTTCTCCGAGAAATCACCAGCTGGTGCTGTTTGCATTCGCCAGCTGTCAGATTAACTTTAGAACTGAAGCAAAATCAAAACGATCAGCGGCCTAAACGCCAGATCATTGAAAATCACGTGATCAATGCAGCTGATAATCTTCTTATCGCATGACATAGTCAATGAAATTTTAGGACAATTTTTGGTAGAGGACAAGGGAAGTGAAAACATAAGAACTGACGGCCAGAAGTGATTAAACTCAGAATAGTAAAACAATGAAGTGAATCCATTATTGACTGAAAATGCACTAGCGAAACAAACAGTCCGGTCAATAGAGAGCAGTATGTTTATTTCATGATCGAAATTCTCTTAAATACAGAAGAACTAGCTGAGAAAACACATACATCAACAACTGTTTTCAGAGGCTTAACAACAAGGCTACGTGGCGCAGCGCTAGGTGTAGGGAACGATAACAAAGAGGCTAAACGAAGATTACAAGTTATGGTAAATCGCCGCCCACTTAATAAGCTCAAATGAGGTTGTTTCACTACTCTTTACTAGCTAAATTCCAAAATTTCGGCGGATTTTGTCTCCTACAGAGCCTGGAAAGTTCAAGTTTACTGCAATCCAGTTAGTACTACACAACCTCCACAGAAAAATAGTGAAACCTATACTTCGATCACATTGAAAACAGAGTATATTCCTCGCACGTTCACCCTTTCTACGAGTTTTCCATGGAGTATTTCACGTGGAGACCAACCACACAGAGTTCACGCCGATGTGCCTCTTTAACATTAAAATACCAGTTTGAGATACTGGGTGAGACCACGTGATTACAAGATATTCCTTCCTACCGTTTATTTTTGCAATCCTGAAGCCTATTCAGAATGCTTCGAGAGTTTTGCGCGGCGATGTTGATTCTTTTGCGAAGATGGTAATTTCTACTTCGAAACCTTCCCGATGTGTCTCCCATTTGTTCTACGCGCGCCTTGTGGAGTATGTATTTAACCACAATGATGCTGAGATAACCAGGGAAACGAAGGACCCACGTAGTGTGGTGATGAACGCGTTAGCCCACGGAAAGGCTAATATCGCGATCGTTTCCCACCGCAGACACCTGCATCCCAGAGTTTTGCAAATATCTCAGCATCACCGTGGTTGTAATTCGCATAATATCGCGCCGTGAAAATTGTAGTAGGCAGCAAATAAAAAGTTAAAATATCTATTTAGTTCTAAATTTACCGACTAGGTGTTCATTTATACGGACAGAGAGTAGTCTGCCCATATCGCCAATACATTCGTCGCCAAACCCGTCACAAGAGATTCGATAAACTGTGCTCAAACTCATGCAATCACCATCTCTACCATTAGGGAATATGATGCATATTTTCGTTGTGCCTGGACGGTCATACTAGCGTTATGAAGTAGCTGCTATCTCTGAGTGTTCGATTATTTCAATCACTGATACCGAATTCTCTAGACCCGGCTATTTTCAGACTACATTTAATGGCTGGATCTACTTCAGTGGTAATAAAGAGTAACATAAATGGCACCCTATTATTGCTAGAATTACCGTTTCGCGGCGGGGTTTTTCCCCTACAGCTACTCCGAGGAGCTACAGTTTCGTAACCATTCGAAATGGCTACTTGACGCTCCGACTTCAAGCATTCTTCCCTCTACTCTCCTCCTGTGTGCAAGCTGGTGGCTGTTCGAAACATGTTTCTTACGAGTGCACTTTTTGTGTGAGAGATGAGAGAAGAGGCAGTGAAGCAGTACCTTCTTACTAACTGTCTTTCGGTATCATTTCGTGGTGTAGCCGTTTTCGGATAGGTTAATTTTAATGTTGAGTAATGAAAGTCAGTTTTCTCTCGATTTCCCTCAGGTAAACTAAACGTGCTCTTGTACTCTTCATCAGGTAACTCGGAACCTTGTCCATCTCTTGTGTGGAGCACATGAAAAAACAATCATCTATATATCTACGGTAGAGTAATGGCCAGAGATCGGTTACTGGTAGCTCTCACATATCTCAGAACCACCTTAGACATAAATGCAATGACAAGGCTTCCCGCCACTCGCTGTCTCATTGCCAGCTCTTTCATTTGCGCGTAGCATTTTCTGTACCATCTCTAAGATTGAGCACTTTGTAACATATCTGTTTATTGCTCCCTAGTGTTGTATAAGGAGTTCGAAGACGACTTGCATAGCGGAGTACTTCGACACATTTCAGTAAAGGACAGTGAAGTCGAAGAGCTCGATCGCGTAAGTGCTGTTAGGACGCGCGTTACGTATACGATCGAGGAACATCTAGGTGTTGGTAAGATGGAATGGAAGGTGTTTCAACAACTAGGAATGCATTAGGATTAAAACCATGTTACTCCAGTCTGAACACCTAATGATCGGTCTAACCTCGAACAATGATGGACCGGTGAAAGCAAAATCATCAAAGGATTGTAACTCATGAGTTTTGTAAGCAAGTACAAGACAAAAAATGTTGGTAATTTAACAATGACTTAATAAATAGCTATGCATGATTCATGGGATAGACGTGTCTTCAGTTGAAGAGCTTTAAGTTTCCCGGATTATACATTGGATGATTTGTAGCTCTCGCATATCTCGGAATCACATTCAGGAACAAGTTTACACGGATGCATACGGTACCTGAATGGCCTACATCCACAAACAAAGAAATGTAAGGATGAAGAAAAACATAGGACAACGCTTTACACAAACTTGTTATGAGAAAAATAAAGAGAAGATGGAATAAAAAGGTATGAATTGCCGCAAGGCGCATCATAATCACATAGAATGGCGAACATCATAAGAACACTTTGAATGAATGCCGACCATAACAGGATTTTCGGATACCTGCATTTGTGTTTCTTCAGACATTCAAATGAAAAAAAGATCTACCTGATTTGTTATGTCGTGCATATCGGAATCGGAAAACGAAATCAATTCAGGATCCGAGCCAAGAGAATCACGACGCGAACGAGTACCGTATAAACGACTTGCCACAGATGCACTGCTCGCCGACGAACCGTGCAAGCGCATAGGAGAATCCTGAAACGAACTCCTCAATGCCTTACACCAACAATAGAATGTTGCGTTGCGATACAAAAATCTGAATTTTTAATATCGTTGACGTTTAACCATATAAATGATAAATAAAAATGGGTGATTCCCTCAATATTAAATCTGAGAGCTTCTTTGAAGTACTTTCTTCTGTGTGAAACAGACAGAGAGAGAGAAAAACAGACGCATACCTCAACAATTAATCAAAAAGGAAACAAATTATGAGTTCTACTCTAAAAGATGATTAAAACTAAAAAGCAATCGAATCCACTAATGAACGGATTGGCCGAGTTTCGCGGATTTGTCGGCGAATTGGACTTGTTGTCATCATTTCGCCCCAACTCTAACACACGTGATCTGGAATGTTTGATAGTAGTATCAGCCATTTCGTCGTTATTAGCGATAGGATAAAAGTCCTGCCTGCTCATTGTACACCTATTCATTTTTGCTTTT